GAAAGACACACCGAACTCCCTGGTTTAAAACCCTCCAGATTTTCCCTCTCCAACAGAAATAAAAGTTGTGGTATCACGAACGTGAGATCCACACCACTGTGACTGACATGCTGAGACACTAATCCTTCAGGCTAGGCAGTATAGCAGGAGATGCTCTTGATTCCCCACGACTTGCGCTGGGATTTAGTAGCTGCAGTGTATACTGTTTTTCTACAGAATCATCGTTTAGTTGACCAACAGTATTTCCTACATCCATTCAGAGCACCCTGGAGAGTAGGGTAAAATATGTAAAAAGCAGGGATTTTAAAAATAGTATTTAAAATTAATTCCATCACAACAATGTATAAAAACTATAAAACAGGACAAAGGTTATAGGAAATGGAAGTACCAAGAGATCTTCACACAGTCCTCCAAAAGAAACAATGGGAGGGGGAGATTAATTATTTTTCAACAATTATGAGTGAGTGAATACCACAAAACTACCTTTCTCACACTCTTACCAAAAAACCCCTCAGTTCTCTTCATGAGCAAATGTTTAATTGGAATGTGGAAGCAAAGTTCTTTAGATGCTTCATGTTAAAATTTGCACTTTTGAGTTGCTGTGCGAGAAAAACCTAGCAAATTGCATGAAGGAATTACATTAGGAATATAGGATTTGACCTCCTCATACAGTTATACACAAAGTCCTTTTATGAGCCTAAAATAATTGCATAAATGTTAATGACTTCAGTCTCACAGTGCTTCAGCGATGTGTTATTTCCATTTTATATATGAGTAAAATGAGGCACAGCTAAGTGACTTAGAGAGTGACCCACAGGAAGTCAGTGACACAACCAGGAATAGAAGCTAGACCTCTCAGCAGCTAGTCCCATGCTTTAACCACAAGACTAGCCGCCTCCTTCCCATCTTATATTAGCACAACTCTTAAGTCTTGGTTGCATCAGCTACTAATTTAAGATGTTTAAGCATGCACGACTGTAGAAATCTGAATTTCTGAAGTTGACTAAGTTGCATTCATAAATCTGTCTTAACTTGATCACCCAAGAAATTAGGATAAACTTTTAAAATGAGACTCAAAATGACCATAAGCTTTTGGTTGCTTTAAAATGATTCCTTCAGAAGTAAATTTCTGATGGATCAACAAATCTGACAGATAGCAGCATCTGCTTGAGCTCTTTGTTCCTATATACTCTTTTGCCTGCTATCGGTGTGTGCTATGCAATTTGGACCTGTTTGATCAGAATGGGACTAGAACATGAAGATAGTATCCAGTTACAGAAGAACCAGACAATCCTAGAGAGAAAGATATTCTCTTCAAGAGAGAATGAAATCAGAGAAGTCAAGAGTTGGGGAGAGACCAAAGATCATGAAAAAAATTATAATTAGAGGTAGGCAGCCTGGTGTGATCTTGGCTTTACTGAATTTAAAGCAGGCATGATTTGGATTTTGTTCTCTTTTTATCTAAGCCTCAAAGTTCAGGCAAAGGAGGATCATTTCTAGTTTAAAGGGTTCTTGTTTTGACCCGCTCTACAGTTATCTATGAAAAATCTACATTATGCCTCGTCCTATCACTTTTGCTGGATCCGAGGCAAAGCATGCGAAATGCACTATAACAATACTGGAGTGCGATCTCCAAAGAGTTTGGAATCGCACCAAGGGATGGTCCCCTACCATCACTTAAAGAAATGCAGTTTATACTATAGGTTTTGCCATATATCTGTATAAAACATCACTGCTAGCAGCTGAAACTTCTGATTTCCTTCAAGTAAAATTATGTACACATAAAATGTGAAAATCGAAGATAAGACTGCGGTGGAATATTGTGAAATACTTTTTACAGACATATATTTCCAGACCAAAACCTGTCAATAAAGACAGAATAAGGTATGCTAAGACAAAGTTCTTGTTATTAATAAAAGAACACCAGATATATAAATTTAAAAATTGCATAACCCAAGAAAAAGTACACAGAGTAGCTTTAAAAAAGCAGCACTACAATAGTTTTTTAGCTTGTTTAAACTCCATTACTTTAACCCAGTGCAATTCCCACAATCAGAACTTGTTCTTCTGACTGCTATATTTATAGCCGCACTGCTAGTGTATGAGATTGCCCTCTAGATGTTAAAAGTTTGGCTAGATAATTTTTCATTCTATCCAGAATACTGAGATGGGACACACTATGTGATTTGTGATTTTAAACTTCTGTAATGCACCTAGAGACTTAAAGCATAGACACAATGGAAACATCAAAATAAAGTAAAAGTTGGAACTAGAATATTTGCAGAGAGAGCAAGAGGTATAAATCTTTCACCTCTACAACCGTACAAGATTTCTACCCTTTTCAAGTCAATCGTAAAAATCACAGTATCATAGACAGAGTCTCTTTAATATATTCATGTTCTAACCTTGGATCAAACCACTGAATCCTACCTGGCATACCTTAGAACATGTTGCACAGCAATTCGTTCATTAAGGTGGAAAAGAGAAATAAAAATGTTTAAAGGAGGTTATTTGGTTCATACTAATACCTTTATCCATCTTGAGATTCCACAAAGTACTCTTATTTCAGTGGCACTATTTTTGCCATATGATTCAATTTAATCTGCTTCAAATTTTCTTAATAATTAAAATTAGTAAAATACACTTAGTAATAAGTATATGCAGAAATAAGATCTTATTTCAGATGCATCAGACTCTTCAGTAAGACTTACCATGAAAAAATGAATGGTTAAAAGTAATATAAAATGCAATTCTTTTACATAAAAATAACTAACTAATGCTTTTATATCCGATAAGAAAAACAAAGTATAATTGATCTTTTGCAAAGACAAGTTACCATCTAATTTTAAAAACAGCACTGATGCTAAGAGGCCCTTTTCCACACCTCTGAACCCAGGGAAGAATTGCCCATGATTCAGGAAGGCCTGAGTCTGACATTTCATTCTTATTTCATAACTCTTAAAGGCCCCAGCCAAACTTAGGAATTCTCTCAGATAAGCAGGGGGAAAAGTCAGCATAATCAAAAACCGTGCAGACAAATAATGCAAACAAAAGCTGTATGAGAAATTGATTATTTCTTTATTACGACCATTTCATTACTGTGTAAAGAAACTCTAGAATTAATTCTAGAATAGGTAATATATTTGTAGACTGTTTTATTTCTTTACCAATACGAAAATGATTGGCTTTCTGTGTTCCATGTGTGAAAAAAAAAAAAAAACAAAAAAACCAACAACACTCTTTCTTGATAAAGAAAAGCAGATTAATTCAAATTATAAATAAGGCATATTTTTAACTACCAAAGAAAATTTATGGGTTCTTCATCTCTTGATTCTTCAAATTAAGATTAGCTGTCTTTCTAAAAGAAACATTTAATGAGGTACCAAACACTACCTAAAAATCTGTTAAGCAGGAAATCAGCCTAAGCAATTTTTTTCCTTTCCTGTCTCAATCTGTTAAAATGTATATTTACAAATCCTGAGTTGTACACAAGTCAATACTACTGTTTCTGCTTTATATTTTATGAGTTCTGTTCAAAGGGTGAACTTTCTAAAAGAATATAATGCTTGCAAAAGAAATAAAATTGTATGGTATTTGTAATACTTCTCTGAAAGCTCTGTTTGGCTGATTTCTCTGGGCTGAGTTAGATATGCCTATTTAGTCCATGCAATTTAATTAGAATCTAAACTATGCTTTGTATTTCTGCTTTACTTATGAACTTATTAAAAGTCTAGGTTCAAAGTATGAGTTTATAGTCACAATCAGATGTACATGAATACCTGCCAATTTTTGGAATGCTCCCAGTTTCATGCAGTTTTAAAAAATTTGCATGTTAAAGCCCAGATTTTTGGGAGGGCTCCTCTGCTATTCAGACACTTAAATCAAATGAGCATATTCTCCAGCAGTTCGCACAGAGAACAGTGTTGTTTCTGTTCTCAGCAGAGCTAAAGCTGAACTCTGGGGAGGTATCCAGCTAAGACCCTTCTTCTTTTATCTTTCTATTGAAACTTTACTGGATATATTACTGTAAAATGGTTAGAAATATTAATAAATTAGGTAGTTAAGCCTCTGTTATTGTTAGATTATTTCATCCATATGTGCCTATTTATTCATCTACGGCATCTTGAGCTAACTCTGAGGTTTTGCTTTACTTGTTTTCAGTACCTGGCTCCTAACTCAGAGTCAGGGTATTACCAAATATATATTACTGTAGTATGTTCAAAAAAAAAAAAAAAAAAAAGATGAAGAAGAAGAAAACAACAAAAAAAAACACCTCACCTTACAAACAAAAGATTTCTACATTTCTAGGGCTAAAAAATTCAGATGGAGGGAAAAGCATGAATTAAAAAAAATTCCTTGATATGTCAAGACAGAAGTAACACCTACTTCAAGCCTATACAAATAGACAGATAATTCTCATAAAAATTAACACAAGGCTTCAAGCCTCTGCAGACAGAAAGATTGTTCTCATAAACAAAAAGCTGTAGGCAATGTTAATATCTATAAGTAGACCAGGTATTTTGACGTATTCAACTCTATAAATTGCCCTCGGTATACAAATAATAAAGCAAATGTAGGCTCTCTTTCAAAATGCTTGATGACTAAGAACCGTAATGAGGCAAATTTAGTATCCTCTGAATCTTCTAATGATGTCCAAGAGATCAAGAGTTTTTAAAGATAAACTATTGTATCCTGGGGCATCTTGACTTACAAGATGACTCTCTAAAGCCTGTTGATCCTATGACTTTTTTTTCACATCTAACTTCTTTTTAAAAGAATCAAAGGGTGAAGTAGAAGGAGGTGACATGCTTGTTTGAACTTGCTCTCTTGAGACTTACCGAACACAGCCTATGCCATTTCTCCCTGCATTCCTGGGGGGGGGTGGGGTGGGGGGGGAAGTGGGGAGAGAGAATCTGTAGCTTAAAAAAGTGAGGGAAAAAAGAATTTCATTTACCTCTGTTACTGCTAAGAATCTTTTCAGAAAAGCCTTTACTCCTGTCACAGTAGGATACAGAGTGACGAGAGGTGACCAAATCAACTACACGCAGAGCAGAGAGGAGTTAGCTGGAGAACGGGAATGCAGAAGAGAAAGCAGTTAGCAGCCGGAAAAACTGAATTTTCAGTTACGAGAGATTACAGAGAGCAGAGATCAAATTCCAGACGCACTCCAGGGCCCGCGGGCTGCCCTCAGGTACGCGCTTTGTGATTTCCCCTCAGGGACCCGGAGGGAGCTGGCTCGGTGAGCGGACGGGGTCTGAAGGGGAAAGGAAGGAGAAGCAGCGCCTCCTCCTCACCGACCCGTTCCCGCTCAGCGTCCGACTCTCTCCCCGGTCCCTCCCGCGGCCGCCACCGCCCCCCCGTTCCTCAGCCCCGGGTCCCCGTCCCGCCCCCTCCGCCCCCCCCCCGAGCCCGCTCGCAGCGGCGGCCGCGGCAGCGAGCCCCGAGCCGCGCAGCGCCCCGAGTCCCCCGCTCCCGCCGGCGGCGACTCGCCCCTCAGCGCCCGGCGTGAGGGCCGGCGGGGAGGCGGTGCCCGGCCCGGGGAGGCGGTGCCTGGTCGGTAGGACGGGCCGAGCCGGGGAGTTTATCCCACTAGAAGGGAACAGTTTCTTCCCGCGGAGACTTGACAGCGCCAGGTCAGTGCGGGCTGCGGGGGACCTTCCCCCGAGGTGAGGGGGCCGGCGGAGGCGCGGGGGGGAGCTCCGGGCTGAGGGAGCCACGGGCGTGGGGGGCGGCTTGTGAGGGGGCGCCTCTGTGGGAGGAGAGGCCAGCGAGGGCTCGGGGGGGGCGGCTGCTGGGGGGCGAGGGGAAGCGTGCGCGGCCGGGAGCTGCGCCCCGGGGTGGGGAGAGGGCTGAGCTCCGAGCCGCGGTGCCGGGGGTGGCGGCGGGGCGGGGGATGGATGGCGGCTCCGCGGGAGCGGGGTGAGAGGGCTTTTCCCGGAGCGGAGGGGCGAAGCGGAGCGTTGAGGGGGTGCGAGGCACGGCCCTGAGGGGAGCAGGGCTGCCCGGGCAGGCTGCCGGTGCCCGGGGGGGCGGGGGGGGTGGCTGTGCGGGCCGGGGTCCGGAGGGAGGGAGCGAGGTGGCGGCAGGACCCCCGCGGGCAGGGCTCCAGGTGCCCCGCGGCGGAGCCGGGCGGGCCGGCGGCCGGCTGGGCCCAGGAGCCTCCGGCCGGGCGGGGAGCGTGGGCGCTGTGTCCATGGTGCTGTACGCGGGGCAGGGGCTGGGCAGGCGGCCCGGGGAGCCCCGGCTCACGGCGGCCAGCGCCGGCCCCTCCCGGAGGAGGCTGCCGGGGAGAGCGCACCGTGCGTGAGGGGCGACCGCCCGCCCCGCGGCGCGGAGGGGATGGGGACGGAGGGGCCCGGCGGAGCGCAGGATGTCCGTTCGCACCACGGTAGGGGAAAGGAGCGGACAGGGAAGTCCTGGTGCTCACCTGGCTGATTGATTCACTTAATGAATGAACAGACTTTTTTTTTTTTTTTTTTCTTTCCAAATTTCTCAACCGCAGAAAGTCGGGGAGCCTTTTCTCAGCCTGCAACAACTGAGATGCTATGTTGAAATGTACTATGTCTTGATGGCATGCCTCAGGTTTGCAGGAGCATTTTGTAATCTTCCTGGTGTCATTTCTCTCCAGGGTATTCTACAACTGGAGAGTGCAAGTTCCTGTGGTGTTGTAACTTTGTGGCACTGTGTACACACGACAATACAACGCTGACTTAACAGTGATGTATTTATTAATATCAGTGACGTAAGACTGGTATTTATTCTGATTAAAAGCTCAGGAAATTATTAATTTCTTCATGTACTGTGGGGTTCAGGTTCCTTTAAGTCAGAAGGATTGATTATGAATATCCTTGAAATAACTAGGGTTGTGGGCTAGCCTTATATTTCTGACTTGCTGCCCCACCTCTGAAGAAGGTTTTGCTGTGAAACATGATTGTAATGTTCCATTTAAAAAATGAGTATTCAAAATCAACAAACAAAAATTTCTGGTACCAATTAGTCAATAATTTAATCAGTAATTTACCTTTTAAAAGGTTACTATGATTTGTTACTAGTTAACTAAAAATTCCCAGTGTACACCAAGTAACTATGGCATATGATACTCAGTGCTCTCCTTTGAAAAGAAGTTTCGTATCTTCTGCAACCCTGGATATCAGAATTTTTTGCATGAAGTCGTGTGTTTGACATCGTTATTCTCTTTGGCTGTCACAAAAAAAAAAAAAAAAAAAAAAAAACAAAAACCCAAAACAAAAAAAAAAACCCTGCTGCAACAATTGCTTAGAGATTTAATTATGAGATTATAAGAAATCACTCTTAGCAGTGTGTTAAGGCATGTGGTACAATATAAGCATGGACTTGTCAAGGAGAGAGAGTTGAAAAAACAGTTGGCATGGACTTTGAATGATAACCAATCAGAAATATAATTTCAAAGTATTTTTATACAGGCAAGCTCTTGAATTTGAATGCTCTTAGGCATCAGTTTTGTAAAATATCTCAATAACTGTTAGTGGTTCAGAGATTATATATCTGTAAACAGTCTTAAGATAGTATATATTTCTTAGAAATGCCTCAATGTCAAATCCCTGGATAATATAATTTATTAAACATCAGCATTCGGTGAAATTTCCATTACAATACAGAATATGCAAATAATTATTTTTTCCTCCTGATATCAATTTCTATTTGATATAATTAATTATCAAAAAAATGAGGGTGACAAAATACTAGAACTTAACTGAAGAACGTTGAAGCTATGCCTTTCAACCTTCCTTATGATACTGAAAAAAACACCCACTATCAACACTGCTTCTAAATCTGACTCTTCTGTGAATTTTTAAAAATAACTATAAGTCAATTTCTAAGTCAATAAAATAAATTTAAGCCCAGCTGTAATTACTGCCAGTATAATTTTCTACTTATAGCAATGGCTAATAAAATGAATTTCGCATAAATTTATACTGTAAAAAATAAGGAAAAGTTTATAAGTAGAAGAAAAACTCTGTCATGTACAAAGCTGGACTAAATAATGAAAAATATAGTCAGTGATATTTTTTCACCTTTTCATCTTGATTGCTGAGGCCCCCTTTTGTTTGTTGTTTTTGGGGTTTTTTTGTTTGGATTTTCTTTTTACATATAATCTGTTCAGAATGGTGTTGAATATATTTTACTAGCCATTTTTTAGGCTAATTGTGAATTGTTAGTTGTGCATGTTTGATATTCAGAATTTGAGTTTCTTTTACTAGCTTTTGCCACAAGGATTATTCCTGTATTCTCCTCTGGCATGCAGTAAAACAGTTTCCAGTATAGTTACTTCACAGAAATTAAAATATAACTATAAATTTTCCATGCTAAGTTCTTTTTAAGTCATGGATACAATACTTTCCATTAGTTATCACTACTAGTTTCATATTTTAATCACTTATAGACTTACTGAATTTAGCATGATATTAGATGTTGAGTGCGAGTTATTGCATGCTGCATTTCCACAATGATGTCCTTTTAACAGCTAGGACCTTTTTTTCAGGTACTTCATACCAAATGTTCTTTGTGTGTCAGTTAACTTTCTGTGAAGTAACAAAAGTTAGAAATAATCCAAAGCAAGAGAGCATTGTTATACTTAAGTCCTACATACCCGTGCTACAAACAGGAGTTGAGGTTTCCCATTAACAGGTCAGCTCTTCAGGATTTCATTTAACTGTCACAGAGTACTTGGGAAAAAAATTCCCCCTCACTCCCTTTTTTTTTGCCAGTGGAGGCCTTTCCAAGGCAGAATGAAGAATGAGAGAGCCATAAGATTTGTCTTCAGATATTTAGATTCCCAGGAATATGAAGTGTAAACTGATTCCTACATTAAATGATAAACCTCTTACATTTGTTCTATCTGTTCCCCCCACGCTCCTGCTTTTTTCTTTTTTTTTTTTTTTTCTTTTTTTTTTAGTGAAGGATAGTCTGTCTTTTTTCAGTTGTCCTTTCTTTCAGGTTGTAGAAATGTAGAAAATGCAGGTGCTAAGCAAATTGTCACCCTAGTAGCACTAGCACCTGTGGTGAGTGGGGCTTAGGATGCTTCTAGATCTTGCAGGTATAAGGAGATATGGAGGAGAAAATACGTGTAGCAACCATGGGAAAGGCTAAGGTTTATTTCAGCATCAGGTCTTCAGCTGCAACATGGACTTCTATTTTGCCTGTTGCTACAAAGGTGTCAGCTCTTCTCACACCACAAGGCAAATATACAACTAAATCCTTTGTAGGCTTTGATTCTTTTAACCTAACAAAAAAAAAAAAGGGGGGGGGGTGGGAAGGGCAGGGCAAGGCCCAGTCCACAGTCTTTCTATCTGAAAACTTTTGCAGAATTTAAGTCAATTTGATCTAGTTCACATTTTTCCCCCACTCCATCTACACCTTCCATTACATTATTTGACCTGTTCATCCTTTCCTAAATCACTCTATAGAATTGAACTAAACAATTACATCATTTTCCAATTAAAACTCATGATACATGAACTATATAGCTATTTTTAATTACCTGTGTTGCAATAGTACCTAGCAGCCTAGTCAAGATTGGGGCCACCTTGTTACTATGACATGAGAATGCCAACAGTTACAAATTTACAGTGGAGACACAATGTAATAGTGAGATTGAGGATGGGGGGGAAAAAAAAATAAAATGTCAGTGTTTTGATTTCTACTTACAACAGTAGTCAATTTCTACAACGACAATAGATTCTAATCTGCATCATGACAAATACAAAAAAGTTAGGTATATGTGTGATAACAAATCCCCAAATTTACAGAAACCACCTTCCTACCCCCTCAGCTTCTAAGCAGCACCCTATTGTCTAAATACAGCTGGTTTTACTTGGTAGTTTTGCTAGATTTCACTGCAAAGAGAAAAAATACCCTGTTTAGAAAGGGGAAGATAAGTAACCACCTCAAAAGCCAGGTTTTGGATTTCTGGAATCGACTAGCAGATGATGCTTTGTGGACTTGCATAAGCCACCCCCTTCCCTCATGACTAAGCAGATCGCCTCCATGCCATGCAGGCTGCACATTCCGGACAAAGTCTATGGATTCAAGTCTATGAATCCCAAAGTCTACTCTGCTGGTTGATAATTAGCAATTTAAAAAACACAAAGCTTACGTAGCTTTGTGTGTGTATGTTCAGGCACAAGTATACCCCATGACTGCTAAGATGAA